AGAAGATATAATAATAATTCACATGAGGAATCAATAATATAGACACCCCTAGTATTTTTATGAATAGAATCATTTACGAAAGTTGCGTATTTTGCTCGTTTCATTTGTATTATTTGGATCATACCAAAAAGAAAGAAGTGACAGCCTTAATATACCTTGGGTAGGAAACATCCGTATGATATTCTTGAAAAAGGTTGCACTTTATTCCTTTAGAATCGCAAAATCTCAATTTGCTATGGTGCTAAAAAATCTCGTTGGAATTGTATTTTTTCAACATTAATGTCCGTTCTTTATTGGAATGAAAATTCCCGTTCTTGAATCTGTTTGGATTTAGAAAGAAGTCTTATAATCAATGAAGGCTACAATCCATTCTTCAATCTGTTTGGATTTAGAAAGAAGTAATGTAATAAATGAATACTACATTCCATTCTTGATTCTGTTTGGATTTTGTACGGAATTGTCATTTCAACACCTAGATGACACCTTTCAAATTGAGATATGAGTCATTCCAATTGCATGGGGCTGCCACCTTATGCTTTTTAATATTTATCTAATATATTCCCAATTAATTAGGTACTGTTCTGTTACCCAATAATTAATCAATTACCCGCATAATTAGGAATTATCTCAACTTATTTAAAATGCTACTCTCTTTTAACATACATTGTACACCTTACTAGCATGGTAATGTAGTACCTTGTATGACACTAGTCCATAAATATCGAGTATTAACGCTCGGCCCGTATTTCATCCCAATATGCCAAGCTAGGACAAAAAATTCATTTTCTTTGACCTGCTTCCCCTCTCACCTTCACGAATTTACTCATCATTTATTTAAAATAGTATAATCCATATAATCTCCAAATAATCTCTTTCCTTGAACTAATGTCAATTACCTTATGACAAATTTAACGTACAATACTACAGGGTGCAACATCGTAATTTAATACTCTGAAGCGTAACATAATCGTAATATTATACTGTAGGACGCAACAAGATCTACCTTGGGTCTCCTAGTGGACTGAAGGCAGCAACCCAACTCTACTCACGAGGTCCGGCACCGAAGTCCTGTGCAGAGTGCAGTATCAGTACAATCGACTCCATGTACTGATAAGTCCCGAGCCTAACCTCGGCGAAGTAGTGACAAGGCTAAGACACGACAACCATATAAACCTGTGCAGTTAAATCATATACAAAAAGTAATAAAAACAGTAATTTAACAGATAATAACGCGATGGGGGAACATGCTGAAGGGGAATATCAAGGTTTAGGAATAACACAGTAAAGAAACAAGTAAATATCATGCTTTGAACCCACAGAAATAATAAAGCAACCACATGTGCACGGCATCACCCTTCGTGTATTAACTCTCTCACAATCATGGCACGGCATCACCCTTCGTGCATTAACACTCACAGAATATAGCACGACATTACCCTTCGTGCATTAACACTCACTCATAATATCGTGTACGGTATCACCCTTTGTGCTTTACACTCTTCCTCATCCAGACAATAGAAACAATAACATCCCGGCAAGGGAATCAGCAATAACCAATCTCGTTTCAACATCTAACTTCACAATATAAATCTCAACTTGAGTTAATACTCAACCAATATCCAAAACAGGGAAATATATAATATAAATTGTTTAACATGAAGAATTAACCAATTTAGCATGAAAAGTATGTATAAAGGAAGCAACAGTTACAAGTATAAGGCTCACATACATGCTATGACTCAACAATGACATATATATACTCGTTACCTCACCTATACGTCGTACTCAACAACTAAACACGTAGCAAATAAGGCAACAACACCTAATTCCTCAAGCTAAGGTTAGCCACGACACTTACCTCGATTCCACGGCCAAATTCAAGCCTCAAATACCGCTTCTCCTTTAGATTCCACCTCCAATCCACTCGTATCTAGCCACAATTAATTCAATATCAATTCTAAGGGAATCAACTACAATGCACAAATTTAGTTTTTCCAAACTTTCCCCCAAAAAGTCAAAAACCGACCCGGGTCCGCTTGGTCAAAACTCAAGGTTCAAACCAAAACCCGTTCACCCATTCACCCACGAGCCCAAATATGCAATTAGTTTCGAAATCTGACCCCAAATCGAGGTCTAAATTTCCAAATTTGTAAAACTCCCCAAATTTTTCCAAAATCCCTAATTCTACCATGAAAGAACAAGATTGAAGGCTAAAAATCTAATGGTGTTGATGGAAATCGAAGAAAATGAGTAGAAGAACACAAACCTATAAATTAGTGTTGAAATCCCTCTTCAAAATCGCCCCTAGGTCAAGTTTTTATGAAAGAGTTGTGAAATTTTTGATAAACCCCGTGCTGGTTCTGTTTTTAAAAAGACTGGATAGGCCTTCTTCGCGTTCACGAGAAGCCTGTCGCATTCGTGAGATGCAGCGGCCAAAGGCCTTCGCGTTCGGGAGATACCCATCGCATTCACGAAGGCATTCTCCCCCCAGCCTCCGCATTCGCGATCCAAGTGTCGCGTTCGCGATGAGTAATTTTCCCCTCCCCCAGTTCCCATGCTTCGCGTTTGTGATAGCCATGCCGCGTTCGCGAAGGGTATTGCCCTCAACGCTTCGCGTCCGCGACCAGTGCCTTGCGTAAGCGTAGAAGGATTGCTCCCTCAAAGAAATTTACACTTCGCCATCACGAAGCACAAAATACATGTACACCTACGACAACAAAACAACAAAATTCTCTAAGTTCAAAAACATCCCGAAACCTGTCAGAAACTCACCCGAGCCCTCGGGGCTCCAAACCAACCATGCACACAAGTCTAAAAATATCATACGGACTTTCTCGTGCGATCAAATCGCTAAAATAACACCTAAAACTACGGATTTAGCATCAAAATTAATGAAAATCTCAAAAACACTTAAAGTTTTTATTTTCACAATTGAGGGTCCGAATCACGTCATATAAACTCTGTTTTTACCAAATTTCACAAACATGACTTAAATATCATATTAAACCTGTATCTGCTCCGAAACCAAATTACGAGTCCGATACCAACAAAATCGAACGTTATTCAATTTCTAAAAACCATTATATTTTCAGTTTAATAATTTTCTTCAAAAATTCATTTCTCGGGCTAGGGAACTCAAAATTCAATTCTGGGCATACACCCAAGTCCTAACTACGGACCCTCCGGGACCATCAAATTACGGATCCGGGTCCGTTTACTTAAAATATTGACCGAAGTCAACTTAATTTAATTTTAAAGGTAAAATTTAGCATTTTTTTAAATTTTTACAAAAAGGCTTTCCGGAAATGCGCCCGGACTGCCCACGCAAATCGAGGAGAAAGAAAATGAGATTTTAAGGGCCTCAGAATCACGAATTGGGTTCTAAAATATAAGATGACCTTTTGAATCATCACAAAAACTTACCTTAATGAAGAATTTTATAAGTCCTAACAGCCTGTTACTTGGAAGTCTCGCTGTTTGAAAGGAAAGTGTTATCAGTTGTGTAACAACATCCAACTGGTCCATACCACTCGGCTCATCTTTTGCCTTATCTTTTTCTTACTCTTTTTTTTTCCTTACTCTTTACTTGTTTCTTCCTTTTCAACCTGAAGTTATCATTGTTAACCAAGACCTCATCGGTGGACATGCCTAATATTTTGTCATGTCTTCAAGAAATGATAGCATAAAGTCATTAAATGTTTGGCTTCCACCTGGCCATGTATTGGCGGTGGAAGTCCTACATTTATGACATGTATAATGGTTACTAAGACAAAGGATATTTGCCACATTTAAGTACTTAATGTATATAAAATTTTGTTTACTTTATTATCCCTTATTTGATCAATTAGCCATATAATTAAGAATTATCTTAAATTACTTAAAATACTGCTTAATTTTAACACACTTTATATAACTTACTATCATGGCCATGTGGTACCATACAAAATAAATACATACACTATTATTTCATTAAAACATCCATGTAGAAATATATATATTTTCTCAACTTCTAATTTTCCTAATCTCATATAAAGAGTAAAAAATTTCGTACGCTTAATTCTTAAAATGATAAAAAGATATCCTTCTTTTCTTGTGAGAAAATAATTTCTATCTTTACAATAAAGAAAATCTCATAAACTTTCTTATATTATGTGTATAATTTAAAACATATTCGAAAGTAGTAATATTAATAACTATATAAAATCATATTTTTTAAACTTTTTACAAAAATATTCTGCTCAAAATACCATATCCAATGTATATAACGGTATCAAGGTTGTTTAAACTTACAAGGTGTAACATCATTCTCCCCTTTAGAACATTTGTCCTCGAATGTTAACTCTCAGAGATTTACAAAATTTTCACTAGGGTCTCCTCAGTAAATTAAACTAAAACCAAAAGTATATCTGAAGTCGTGACTATTCACAGCCTTTTGTACTTGAGTAAGTCGTATCTTCCTCACCTTTACCTTACTTACCTTTCAATCATCGCATCGTGTCTTCCATTTTTTCCTAAACATCCCTTTTACATTACACCTTAAATCTCTACAGTGATACCTGCACCTCTGGTGCATACAAAATTTGACGAAAGTTTCATACTGACTTCTTACGACTCAGCTCTATGGCACGATCTGAAAACAAAAGAAGGGTTACATTTCCTAAATGTCTTATAGGCTCTCAATTATAAATGGGACGCGCAACACACCCATAAGTGAGACTCTACTAGGTGCGGCTTTGTAGACTTCGTAGGACACAACCCGCTCTGATACCACCTTGTCACGCCCCAAGCCTAGGGAGGCGTGACTGGCACCCGGTGCCGCACTGGCCCGAGCAAACCACTCTGTAACTTTTTATTGTAACTATCATGGGCCAACATGTCCACAACTTGTAATATATAACTATAAGTGGAAAAACACTGAATTAATGAACCATCTTTCTGAAAACATGAATACATATGGGTCGTCAAGGCATTTGACATACTGTACAAAATGAACCTCTATCTACAAAGCCTTTAAGTTTATTTGACATCAAATAGGACAGGATACCGACCTACCCATAAGTCTGTAGCAAACTTCTGACGCGATGACTCATAGATTCAGCTACACTCCGAATGAGGTGGAGTCTTACCGATCCTTCGTTGAATGTCAATCTAGTCTATTATGAGGGCTCGTCTAACTGATTGTCTATACCTGCAGGCATGAATGCAGCATCCCCAACAAAAGGACGTCAGTACGAATAATGTACTGGGTATGTAAGGCAGAACTGAAACATAAAAATAAGTTAACATTAATTAAATACATCTAAGAATCAATCTGAATCTCTGAAGTGCCAACTTATATGCATTCTTATTATACTTACATATATACAATGCGTCTTTTTGAGACTATTATCCATATCGTATGTTGCATGACTGCCCAACTGATCAGTGGTAACTGCTCGATCGGCCTTCGCACGGTGGTAAATGTATGACTGCCCAACCGGTGGTAAAGAATAATACATAACTGCCCAACCGGTGGTAACTGTCTGACCAGTCGTAGCACGGTGGTAAATGCATGACTGCTCAACCGACCGTAGCACGGTGGTAAATGAATATGCATGACTGCCCGACCGGCCATAGAACGATAGAAAATATGTAACTGCCTAACCGGCCGTAACTCGATGGTAAATGCATATGCATGACAATGCATGTATTACGATATTATAAATATTAACATCTTTATCATATACCTCAATAGAGACTTAGGAACATACTTAGACATGCTTGAATATCACTTTACCAAAATGAATAACATAGACATCCTTAATTGCTAAGAGTATGGAATATCATTACGTTTACGTATCGTTTCATGAATCATGCCAAAAGAAAGAAGGATTAGACTTAACATACTTGAACTGATTCTCTTGACAATCCCTCCAACACCCGTCCTCGTAGATAAAAACATTAGGGGAAAAGTGCGAGAAACTGCAAAGATAAATTATTTTGTCATCCATCAAGAACAACCCTACCTCTATCTGAGATTCTGCTCTATGTCGTCTTCAACAAGGAATACTTACCATGATGAAGAATTTTATAAGTCCTAACAGCCTGTTACTTGGAAGTCTCGATGTTTGAAAGGAAAGTGTCATCAGTTGTGTAACAACGTCCAACTGGTCCATACCACTCGGCTCATCTTTTGCCTTATCTTTTTCTTACTCTTTTTTTTTCCTTACTCTTTACTTGTTTCTTCCTTTTCAACCTGAAGTTATCTTTGTTAACCAAGACCTCATCGGTGGACATGCCTAATATTTTATCATGCCTTCAAGAAATGATAGCATAAAGTCATTAAATGTTTGGCTTCCACCTGGCCATGTATTGGCGGTAGAAGTCCTACATTTATGACATGTATAATGGTTACTAAGACAAAGGATATTTGCCACATTTAAGTACTTAATGTATGTAAAAATTAGTTTACTTTATTATCCCTTATTTAAACAATTAGCCACATAATTAAGAATTATCTTAAATTACTTAAAATACTACTTTCTTTTAACACACTTTATATAACATACTATTATGGCCATATGGTACCAACAAAATAAATACATACACAATTATTTCATTAAAACATCCATGTAGAAATATATATATTTTCTTAACTTCTAATTTTCCAAATCTCATATAAAGAGTAAAAATTTTCGTACGCTTAATTCTTAAAATGATAAAAATATATGCTTCTTTTTTTGTGAGAAAATAAGTTCTATCTTTACAATAACGAAAATCTCATAAACTTTCTTATATTATGTGTATAATTTAAAACATATTCGAAAATAGTAATATTAATAACTATATAAAATCATATTTTTCAAACTTTATACAAAAATGTTCCACTCAAAATACTATATCCAATGTATATAACGGTATCAAGGTTGTCTAAACTTACAGAGTGTAACATCCTTCCCCCCTTTAGAACATTCGTCCTCGAATGTTAACTCTTAGAGATTTACAAAAATTTTACTAGGGTCTCCTCGGTAAATTAAACTAAAACTCAAAGTATATCTGAAGTCTCGACTATTCATAGCCTTTTGTACTTGAGTAAGTTGTATCTTCCTCACTTTTACCTTACTTACCTTTCAATCATCGCATCGTGTCTTTTGTTTTTTTCATAACCTCCCTTCTACGTTACGCCTTAAAGCTCTACAGTGATACCTGCACCTCTGGTGTATACAAAATCTGGCGAAAGCTTCATACTGACTTCTTACGACTCAGCTCTATGGCACGATCTGGAAACAAAAGAAGGGTAACATTTCCTAAATGTCTTATAGCCTCTCAATTATAAATGTGGCACGCAACACACCCATAAGTGAGACTCTACTAGGCGCGGCTTTGTACACTCCCTAGGACACGACCCGCTCTGATACCACCTTGTCACGCCCAAACCTAGGGAGGCATGGCTGGTACCCGGTGCCGCACTGGCCCGAGCGAACCACTCTGTAACTTTTTTTTGTAACTATCATGGGCCAACATGGCCACAACTTATAATATATAACTATAAGTGGAAAAGCACTGAATTATTGAACCATCTTTCTGAAAACATGAATACATATGGGTCGTTAAGGCCTCTGACATACTGTACAAAATGAACCTCTATCTACAAAGCCTCTAAGATTATTTGACATCAAATGGGATAGGGTACCGGCCTACCCATAAGCCTGTAGCAAACTTCTGACACGATGACTCATAGACTCAGCTACACTCCGAATGAGGTGGAGTCTTACCAATCCTTCGCTGAATGTCAATCTCGTCTACTATGTGGGCTCGTCAAACTGATTGTCTATACCTGCAGGCATGAATGCAGCATTCCCAACAAAAGGACGTCAGTACGAATAATGTACTGGGTATGTAAGGCAGAACTGAAACATAAAAATAAGTCAACATTAATTAAATACATCTAAGAATCAATCTGAATCTCTGAAGTGCCACCGTATATGCATACTTATTATACTCATATATATAAAATGCTTCTCTTTGAGACTATTATCCATATCGTATGTTGCATGACTGCCCAACTGATCAGTGGTAACTGCCCGACCGGCCTTCGCACGATGGTAAATGTATGACTGCCCAACCGGTGGTAAATAATAATACATAACTACCCAACCAGTGGTAACTATCCGATCGGCCGTAGCAAGGTGGTAAATGCATGACTGCTCAACCGGCCGTAGCACGGTGGTAAATGAATATGCATGACTACCTGACCGGCCGTAGTACGATGGTAAATATGTAACTGCCCAACCAGCCGTATGTCACGACCCCAAACCAGCCCGATCGTGATGGCGCCTCTCGTGAAGACAAGGTCAGCCGACACAACACTCACCTTAACTCTTTAAGCATTAAGAGTCATTTTTAAGTCTTTAAATTAAACAATGTTTCATAATAAAATCCTGGAATAACAGTGCAGAATAAAATACCAGCCCGAAATCGGGGTGTCACTAGTCATGAGCAACTATCAAGGTCTGAATACAACAAAAGTCTAAAAATGTACTAAATACAGTAACAACAATGATAGGAAGAAAGCGGTGTTGCGAACGTCATGCAGCCACACTGCTAACTCTGATGACTCCGTGACTGAGCTATCAACATCCGCTACTGGGTTCCGATATACCTGAATCTGCACACGACGTGCAGGGAGTAATGTGAGTACTCCAACTCAGTAAGTAATAAGAGTAAATAAAGGCTAAGCAGTATGAAACAATAAATCCACATTTACGCTGGGTTCAATAAATATAACAGGCTTTCAAATCATAATACGAGTCAATCTTCCCTTTTAAAATCCAGCTTTTAGTAAAAATCATCTTTGAAATACCTTCCAACAGTTTCAGTAGGGGTTCAATGCCATTTAAAATAATAATAGAGATTAAAGTCATAATCGGCCCCTCGGGCAAAGCATATTTCGTAAAACAGCCCCTCGGGCAAAATAGTAATCACAAACACTTCATAACTTGAAACTCTCAGTGGAAATAACCAATGTCAAATTAGTGATTAATTTCTGAACATCTCATAAACCCCAGTTTAAATAAAAGTTGTTTTAAAACATTTGTGCAACTTTCCGATAGCGGCTCAATATAGAGATGAGTGAAAACAGTCAATAAATCAACATATTCGATAGAAACTCATTTTAAGAGGAGTGAAATCAATAAGTCCATAAACAGGCCTCTCAGGCAAAACACCACTCATATGCATGTATATATCTATCGCCCCTCGGGATAGCCTCTTTGTCACTCGTGACTCAACTCTTACCAATCAATACTCGCACTCAGCATTCACGCTCAATTGGTACCATATAGTAACCGCTGCGGCGTGCAACCCGATCCGTATATCTCTCACAATAACTGAAATCAAAGTAACCACTGCGGCGTGCAACCCGATCCATGCATCGCTGTGGCGCACAGCCCGATCCATATAAATAGTCGACTGTGCTCACTGGGGTGTGCAGACTCAGGAAGGGCTCCTACAGCCCAAGCTCTATATTGTCGCGGCGTGCAGCCCGATCCAATATATGTATTTGCATATTTGTTGCGGCACGCAGCCCGGTCCATATAAGTATTTGTTGCGGTGTGCAGCCCGATCCAATATATGTATTTGCTGCGGCGTGCAGCCCGATCCAATATCATATATAATATCCTCACTATTGGGTCCTCAACCCCTCTCAGTCATTATAATCACAGCCTCTCGGGCACAATAATATAAGGTAAGGATCTCATCCCACATATTTCTCTCATGTTAAGAATATAGTGATAAAGCCAGATTTGAGCAATAAACAGGTAAAACATGACTGAGAATATGCTTTCAAACAAATAGAGCGAGGAAAGATAGTAAAAATGTCCCTAAGGTCTTAACAAGTCGGCACAAGGCCCCAAACATGGCATACAACCCAAAAATATAATAATGTCAAATAATTAACTATCAATTACGCATTAAAATATTCGTTTAGGATGGACTAGGTCACAATCCCCAGCGATGGTCTACTCCACGTTCATCATCCAGCGTGCAAGTCACCTCAAAGTAACACAACGACGTATAATCCGGGGTTTCAAAC